CAGCGCCTCCCTGCCCTTCCTGCTCCAGTTCTCAAAAGCTAGTCCTGTCCACTCGATTCCCAGTAGTGGCCCTGTAAAAGCTTGCCTAAATCCCCTGAAATATTTTGCAAAGGACAACTTGGCCAAATTGCTGTCAGGCTGATGGCAAGCCCCCTCCCTCCCCACCTGCCCCCAGCCCCTCCTGTGCCTCTGTTCCTGATCCCACATCCCATGTCTCTTCCCAGTGCCCCCCCACAGGCTTGTGGGCAGCCCGCCCCGCCCCTGCTGGTCTGGGCTTGCAACCCTGTATGAGGCTAAACTCCCCTATGTTCAGCCTGCCTCGAAGTGCTACTTCCCTCTTGGGAGCACATGGCCACACTGCTGGGTGAGCACAGCAGTCCAGCAGGACTAGAGGAGCACCAGCTCCCTCACACCAGGTTCCTCATGCTGTTCATGTCTCGTATCACAGCCCAGACAGTAAATCCTCTCCTCTAACCCTCCTGCAAGTGTCCCCTTTGCTCAGGGCCACCTCTGCTCTTTCCTGCAGCCGCTGCTGGCATTGTGGAGAGTCTCTGCTGGGTCGGATCCCTTTCCATTATCTCGACTTCTCCTTCTGCTCCACGGCTTGCCTGCAAACCCACCGCCGGGCACAGGCCAGCCACACGTAAGCCCGGGTACTGCTGCCACCTGCCAGTGACTGGTGTGGTGAGACACAGCTGAGCACTGCCTGTGCAGCGAGGGAGAGCCTGTGGAGCAGCACTGGTCGGAGTCTCTGTGTCGGTCTCTGGGGCAACTCTGGCAAGGCTCAAGGCAAGAACGTCACTCTGAGTGGTGACTGGGGACGTTACAACTGAGAGGTCCGCATGTGCTAGTGTGAGGGGCCAGGACTGTTTTGTGGCATGGTTCCAGGTGAGAGTCCTGCTGCCAGTGTTTCTCATGGCTGCCTTGTAGGCTGCTGCCCATGGGGGGGGCACCAGTCCTGACATATCTGGACACCCGCAGCCCTGAGCTACCTACAGCCACACGTGTGGACACCCTCTGGGCTGTGCTTTGCCCTCTCCTCTCCTGGATATCGTTGGCACCTCGGCTGTATCATGTTTGCAGCTACCTCCTCTGCCCGCATTGTCGATAAAGAGGTGCCTTGACACCCTAGCATGGGGGATGTCAGCATGAGCACTGGAACTATATGGAATGGACTTGCAAAACAAGCTCAGTTCTGGGCCCTGTTCTCCTTAGCGCAGACCCTGCCTGGCCTCACAGGAGGCCCGGAGTTCTGGATGTCTGTGCAAGCATCTGTGCCCCCTTCCTAGGGCCCTGCGGCCCCTCCGCTCACCCCTGTGCTTCACCAGTCCCCTGCCACCTGCACAGCCCCAGCAAGAGGTGATGCAGGTGCCTGGCTGCCCTGTGTTTATTCTGTGCCCATGGTGCTGTGGCTGAAGGTTCTGTTGAAAAGGGGTCGGTCGAGAAAGAGCAAGAGGGGGGTGGAGGGTGCCCCTTCCAGCTCCAGCACTGTGATGTTGTTGGGGTGACCAACATGCAGCACCGAGCCGGGCACGAAGAGGGTCTGCTGGGGGCCACGGCGGGGCCAGTAGCGGCCTAGGTTGAAGCCGTTTATCCACAGCTGGCCCTGGAAGATAGAGACAGGACTGAGCTGTGCACCTCTCCACCCTCAACACCTCTCCTGGCTGTGCTCGCCTTACCTTGCCCCAACCTGGGAACTTCACGAAGGTGTCCCAGGCGATGCCAGGGGTCTCAAAGGTCCCAGTGTAGAAGGCTGGCCCTTCTCGGCCTCTGCTGCTTGATTTTGGCAGGGCAGCATGGGGCCAGCCTTGCTGCACGGCAGTGTCTATGGCCAGGGGGTAGATCAGCCAGTTGCTGAGAGGGTTGGAGTCCAAGGAGAGGTTTCCCAGCAAGCCCTGAGATGGAGCAGGAGGGAAGATGAGGCAACAAGGTCTGCCGTGGCAGGAGGATGACTTCTCCAGGACACCTCGCCCTCAGAGCAGTGGAGGTGGGACGGGATCCACCCTGAGGGCCTGTGCTGCCCCAGCGGCTGTGGCAGCGCCACTGGGAGGCAGGGGTGTCAATCTCACAGCCTTACCCTGGTCCCAGTGGGTTTGCCAGGACCAGGGGCTGGGACGGTGTGAGATTAACTGGGGAGCAGGTCTCTTGTGGGTGGCAGCAGAAGGGGCGTTTGGCCATGTGGGTGCTCAGGCCCTCCCCTCCGAAGCCCCAGGGCCCTCTCCCCTCACCTTGAAGTCACTGATGTTGGCCCCAAAGCTGATCCTGCCCATGTTCTCCAGGAGCACGTCCAAGGCGTCCCCTGCCCTGCCTGTCACACGCAGCACTGTCTGCCCGTCCCGCTCCAGCGTGCCCTGGTACTCCTGCAGCCACAGGGTCAACACTGCTGCCCTGGGCCTGGATCCCACTGCTCCCGTCGCTTCCGGCACCCTGCTAGCACGGCACCCTGCTGCCCGCGCTCCCAGAACCAGCCCAGCGCTGTCCTCTCACCCCAGAGAGGACGAGTTTGAGCCAGAGGGCTACCCCACAAGGGCTCAGTGTGGATCCTGGCACCCTGGCTGTCCCTGAGACCCTGGCAGGGCACAGCCTGGCTGTGGGCAGGTCCCACAGGTCTCCCCAGAAGCAAGGCCAGGGATGGGTGTGCTCCCGCAGCCTCACCTTCTGCAGCATCACATAACCACGGTCGCAGATGCTGTGGGGAGGAGCGCCCAGCGTGGCAGGGTCCAGGACGTCCCGGGGCAGCTGTGTGTGGTACATCACAAAGCCGTGGGCCTGCAGGACACAGCAGAGTGGCACAAAAAGGGAAAACAAGCCCTGGCCTTCCACTCTGGTGCCAGGTCAGGGTAGACAACCCTAGGAGCATCTCCCTAGGGTCCCCCACTGCACCCAGCTCCTCACCTGCTTTATGGCCTCAAAGGTGAGGGGGAACTGGCTCTGGATGGGCCCAGAGGGGCACAGCACATCCAAGACATCCAGGAGGTCGGCATACTGCAAAGAGGGGGATGGGCGTCGGGCAGGCGGGCAGTGCCAGGCAGGGCAGCACAGCGCTCAGGGCAGGAGCTCACCTTCCGCAAGGCCACCCAGCCGTAGGAGTATTTGAGGCTGGCGGGGGGCATTGGACCAACGGGCAGGGGCTGGAACTGAACAGCAAACAGTCAGCTGCCCCCCCCAGCAAGCAGGGAGATGTCCCCTGCCCTGCCAGGTCCCTCTGTGTCCCCACTTCCCTGGCACAGGCAGCAGTGCCCCATGCTGTCCCCTTTCCTGCCAGGCTCAGCACCTTGCTGATGACTGTGCGGATGGCAAACAGCTTCTCAGTGGGGTCTCCTGCCTCTGAGAGGGGGGCATCGTAGTCATAGCTGGTGGTCACTGGTTTGTACTGGTCCTTGAAGTCAGCACCTGGCCAGGGAAGTGGTGGGAGCTGGAGGAAGGGGCTCAGGGCATGGGACCCAGCACCAGGCTGGCTGCAAGGCAATGGCTGGGGGCATGACACAGAACTGGGAGACCCCAGCGGGGAACAAGCTTGGGTTCAGGGGCCCTTGGGTATGTAGGTATGTACCAGCCTGCTCCGTGGGACAGAATGGAGCCTGAAGCGGGCTCCTTAGGGATGCCCAAGGAAAGCCCCCCAGTGCCACGGTGTGACCCCTTCTCCAGGGCAGGGCCCTACTCACCGCTCCAGTAGGCAAAATTCGTCCCCCCATGGAACATATACCTACGGGAACCCAGATAACCCCATCAGCACCTCCATGGGCCCAGGGGGTTCACCAGGCACTGCCCTGCAGCCCTGCCTGCCTCCCCTGGCCCAACAAAGGTGAGCAGCAGTGCCCAATCCGATGCTGGAAGCTGGGAGGGCCCTGCACCCCAGGCTGCTCCCCTCAGCTGACTACTTGCATGTTGACATTGGCTCCCAGCTGCAGCATGTCCTCCAGCTGCTGGGCTACCAGCCCCGAGCCGGTGCTGGCATGTGCCTCGCCCCAATAATCCAGCCAGCCCGTGTAGTACTCGGAGTTCACCTGGGGGAGCAAGGGACTGTCACCTGCCCGGAGCTCAGGCTCCTGGCACCCCTCTTTGCCTCATCCCCCCACTCCTCTGCCTCCCCAAAGCCATTGCAGCTCATTACCCCCAGGGCGCCCATGCCAAGCTCACCAGGGGCCCCTTCGGCTCGACCCAGCGAT